GTAGACGGCTAATGGGTGTTGACGATGCCCAGGTTTTAAGTCAGAGTTTTCCTTCTCCTAGCTGGGTTGCCTACCAAGTCTAATGAGCCCCACCTGCCGGCTGTTGTAACCTTTCAGTTTATTCAGATGCACCCCCACACAGCAGGACTTCTCTAAACACCACCTAGGGGACACGCCTCTACGCAGTGCAGCCTCTGCATGAAGGGGTTGGGGGTTAGGTAAAGGTCTGGGTTAGGCTACAGGATCAAATGGAAACACTGTACTAATAAGGATGGAAATATAATTTGGCGTGTGTATGACTATGTGTGTGATTTGTGTGTCAGATCAGTGCTGATTGAGAGTAAACGATGAACTCACATGTTGAGACTTTTGTTTTATCCCACCATTTTTTCATTTACAAAAATAAATGAATCTACTTAAGGCCACTGCTCTTTTATTTTTCCATCATTTGCAGCAGTGAAGTGGACAGTGTTTATGCTGCAACTTGACCTTCATTTATCACCATCACACTGTTCTCTGCAGCAGCTCCAAACACAATGTGTCAGTCTTGATGTTTGTTAATGTTGGCACTGATGTGCAAAAATGTTCAAAAGATTTGTGTCTAAACAGAAAACTTTTCAGTAAAGAAAAATAAAACATTTCAAAAGACTAAAACAAAAACACACAAATTTATTAGACTTTAACGAAAAAATGACAATAAGGCAAAAAACCTTTCAGTTGCACCCTCATCCTCGGCAGGAGGGTGCAGGTTGAACTCTGCTTGGGATTCCCTTCATCTACAGTTCCTGTTTGTGGTCTTTATGGACAGGATCTTAATCCCAGAGGAGTGTGTCTGGTTTAGAAATCTCAAGGTCTCATCTTTTGTCTTGCAGATGATATGGTTCTGTTGGTGCTGAGTGGTTCATAACTGACTGTAAAGCAGCTGGAATAAAAGTCAGCTTCTCCTTGGGAAAAGGAAAAATGCTTCCTCCCAGTCGGGGATGAATCTTTGCCTCAGGAGGAAGAGTTCAAGTATCTGGGAATCCATCATAAGTGATGGAATGGAGCTGGACATGGATTAGGGTTCTGTCAGCAATAAGGGCACTGCTTTTGTCTGCCGTGTTGAAGAAAAAGTAGAGATTTTCAGGTGTTAGGCCACACCCATCGATTTGATGCCCAAAAAGTCAAAGCCTACAGCCAATGAGAGTGCTCAGAACGTGTCATCCCCTCTGCACTCATGTTTTTTTTTTGTGGAACATAAGCCTCTTTCAGAATACAGCTCAGTCTGGGACTGACTTGTGTTCTGTTCCTCCTGAATCATTCAGAAAAAACATGGAGGCGGCAAGTGGGGTAGAAGACAGTCTGCCTCTGATGCCCCTCTGAGCCTCCAAGGGAGGTAGCGTCAGAGCAGGGCAGGCTAACGTGGAAAACAAAAGAAAACAATGCAGTGCCGTGACCCAAAAAATGATAATGAACTGACTAGGGCTGAGTATCATGACCAATTCTCTAAATCGATTCAGTTCAATTCAATTTGCTCTTAAATAATGTAAATGGTTCAACTGTGTTGCAAAATACAGATTCACTTTATTTTTTCCTCTTCATCATAAACAACAGGTTTTAAGGGCAAACTTGTAAATTAAACAGTTTAATCAAGTTTTAAAGGTTTTAAGTGAAAATGTATTTGCAAATGACAGTGTTGTTGGATGCATTCATTTTTAAGAAATTAATAATAATTTTCTTGATGAACAAGAAGTGATGCATTAATGTTGCAGGAGAAGGGGTGGGATAATATAGGTGTACTTCTGCCCACTCATTTTGAGTGTTTGAAAATGTTATGTTTGTAATGCTTCTGTTACCTTCTGTTATGTTCAATAAAAATTATTAAAGCATAAAAGAAAAAACATGACACAACTGCAATACTGTGAATTTCATCAAGATAATAATATTGGTAACAAAACTAAACATTTTTGTCAGAATTTCATCTTTCATGTATTTATACATGTGGAGGAGAACAGTTTGAGATGTTTACATACCATCGTTTTGGTTGGAGCACCTAAACGAGCTGCTGCTTCATTTTTCTGCTACCGCCTACAAACACAAATCTTTGCAAACAAAAGTCACCATGGTCTCTGTTATCTTTAAGTTCTGTGGACAGTCGGCTGGTAATGTTAGTGATTCCTGAGTTTATTAGTTTTGCCCCAGACAACTTGTCAGAATCTAACGTTAGCGCTGAATGTCAACTGGATGTAAACTTATGGCAAGCTATGAGTGACGCCATCTATAGAAATGTGCCTCAGCTTCATCACACACAAGGGTGAAAAAATCGATTTCATGCCCTGTGAATCGATTTTCATAAATTTAAATGAAATCCATCCAGATTTATTACTGAGGGAATATTAAAGATGACGCAGAACTAGGCCTGTCGTGATAGTCAATAAATCAATTAATTGCACGATAACTTTTTTTGAGGTCGGTAAAAAAAAGACGGCGATAAGTTTCATTTTCCTGCTTGTTTGTTTACTTCGTCTCTCTCCCTCTCTGTGCTCCGCTACACAAGAGCTCAGCTGACCCCTCCCCTCCTGTTTTCTTAGTGTGGGAGGAGTCAACTCTCGCTTTAGCGTGATAGCTCGTTGCTAAATAAACGCTTCAAAGCAGAACGCGGCTGCAGAAGTGTCGGAGAACTAGAGCCTGGATTTCGCTGCGGAGGGAGGGAGGGAGAGAGAGACGGAGTGAGACAGAGAGAGAGAGAGAGAGAAAGAGACAGAGAGAGAGAGAGGTGAAGAGGTGAGAAGGGGTGGGGGCTGAAACTCCCCCAGACCCGCGACAAACTCGTCAAGACTTTACCTGTAGCTCCCAAAAATAACAGGAAACATAAACACACCATTTGTGTTTTAACAAAACACCCAAAAAGCCTGTAGCTGTCCCAACAACTCCTGAGGAAAACTCTGAACTGTCTGATTTCCTCCCCGCAGCGCTCTGACTGTCCCCTCCTCACACACACACACAGACACGTTTGTTCTTCTATCCTCATGGGGACTTTGCATTGACTTTCATTCATTTACCAGTATTTCCTATTACCATTTGACCCTAAACCTAGCCTACACTTTACATGGGATGTGAACTGGGCTTATGTCCCCATAAGAAACAGTGGGTCCTCACCAGGCTGTGTAGTTTGCTTATTGTTTATTTACTGTCTTAGTAGTGTGTGGTGTTTAATTTACATTTTGTTGTTCTTTGTTTTATTTTTTTTATTCAAGTGCATTTTTTATTAGAGACTGAGAGTCCACTTTGTTAAACATTCTTTTAAAAATGAAAGTTTATTGATTTATTACACTTACATATTATGCTTATATAATTATTAGTTGTAAAACGGTCACCAGGCAATATTATCGTTTATCGCAATAAATTTTGAGACAATTAATCGCCCAGCAAAATTTGTTATCGTGACAGGCCTACGCAGAACAACAACTTTGTAGTTAGTTTAAAAATATTGACCCACAGGATCACCAAAGTGAGTTAATTCAGTTTATTTTGTGTTTGATACAAGACAGACATCTGTCACACATTAAATGCATCATGGTCCACTTCAGCCCAGCTGAGATCTGCTCCACGCCTCTTTTAGTTCCACACTGCTGGGTTCAGATGGTTCTGAAGGTGTACAGGTGAGTAGGAACTGGTTAACTTCACTTGTGATGAGGGAGCTTAAAGACAGATCGGTCTGTATGACCATTTCATGGAAATATCTTGGAAAAGTGGCTATTGGCTATGATGTGGACTGCAGATAGGACAAACGTGAATGAAGCTGCTGAGGACACATATATTCAAATGGACAAACTGGGCAGTTGTGACTTTTGTTTTACTTTATTTTAGGAAAAGGGCGATGAGCTAACAGTTAGCGTTTTACCATCCAGTGATTTGAAGAGCACTAGAGCTAGTTGATGAAGATGTCTATCAGCAGTGAAGAATTTGTGGATTTAGGGTCTTCAGTTTATCTTTAGTGGGTTTTGACTGAGAATGCTCTTAAGATCTTTAATTTATAGATAAAGCTTATTTATATATACTGTATTTACAAATCTAAGATGGCTGATAATAAAAGGGTTACTTTATGGTGTTGGCATTTGCTTTTATCGTTATATTTTTTAAATTATTTTTTGTTGTCGTTTTCTCTATGCTCTTGTGTTCTTAACATTTCTAGCTGTGTTTCCTGAAAGTGTTTCAGTGTTTTGTTATAGCTGCACCTCGGTGCCAGCTGTAAACACGTGTCTCATCCTCAGAGCTGTGATAATGTGGGTGGGAAGGGGTTAACTCCTGGCACGCAGAGAACTAAAAAAATAAAAAATAAAACATTTGCAGGATAGCCTCAACATGAAAGACTAAAGGGGAGGGATCCACCTCTTGGATGCAGCAGCTCCTCCTCCTAATAACACACACAAGTGTCAACAGAGCAGCGTTTCCTCAGTTACACATGAAGGCGTGTGAGCACTTGCCTGCAGGCCACTTGTACCTAAATATACTCAAATATACTTAAATATACCCTGGGATCTCCAGCAGGACAGAGATACATTAACACTGATGATTAAAAAGGCACAAATTGGCAGGTTAATATGCATAAAATTAATTACCAGCTATACTTTGCATAATAATTTAACTCATGTAAGGATTTTGTCTGATCTTTGGAAAATAAAGGCATAATATTTACTGTATAAATAGTATTAAAATACTACAAAGGAATACTAATGGAGTCTGGTGAGTTTGATCAATTCTGTTTTGATGCAATCATCAAATCTTCTTTTAAATACTGGTTTCTGGGGAAAAAATCTTTTAGCTAATTTTTCATTTGCTTCTTTAGTTGGAGCTGTGATGGGTTCTCCTGTCGTTTGCTCTGCCAACACTAGATGGTGATAAACACCACCTTTGGAGTGATGAAGCATTTCGTCCTTCACACACCGAGTTTCTTCTCTAATCACTGAATCTTCTCAGCATTATTCAGTACCATGAAGCATTGCTTTCTCCCCCCTCAGGTTTTCTGGTCCTGGCCTAAAACGGGTTCTTCCTGCCTCAGAAACTAAGAACAACAAACCCCTGGAGCCAGTCATCAGCCAGATCATCGATAAACTCAAACACATCAACCAGGTGAGCCTCACTTTGGATTCAAATGACTTGATGAGAATCTGTTGGGGAAATATTTATTTAACAAGAAACAAAAATGGTTTTCCCCCTCAGAGGGGGTGTGAAGGTTTTAGTTCTACCTCTTCATCTCTGACTGGACAGGTGTATGAAAAATGTTTTGTGCTCCGAAAAATCTTTTATCTTCATCAAAATCATTTTCACAGAGTGCTACATGAGCAATATGGTGGGCCTCAAAAGGCCAGTTGTAATTAACTTCAACATTTCATGTTTAACTTTAACTAAACAAAAAACATCACAATCTTCATCTTATAGCTATGGCTGAGCACTGCTAACAAACAATAACTGAGCTCTATGTGGTACTTCCTGCATAGAAACAGTGTTTTAACACATCCACTTATAAACACTGAAAAGATGTGTTCAACTGACTAAATGTGAAATAAATAATACAGAAATACTATTAAAAGTAAAAGTGAAAGAGTTTTACTTGCTGATGAGTTGTGGTACGTCTTGAATCCTGAATGCTTCCAGATGATGTAGTTTAAGGCCAATGGTAGTTTTAAAGCAGTTTATTTTGAGATATTGATACATTGCTCAGGGGACCACAACCTAAAGCAACAGCTCAGGGGCAGGACATTGTTCACCCATAAATAGGTTTATTTTGTTGCATTGAATCAAATTTAAAATCTACCACTGATATAAAGAACATTTTCGTGTTAAGTTAAAAAATGGGTTTGTGTGTGTGGAACCCGGGGGTTAGGTTAGGTTGAAAACCTGTAGATGGATCTATGAGCCTTCACAGATTGATCTACCAGCCTGGAGATCAGGGGTGTCCAAACTTTTTTTTTAGTGAGAGCCAAGTACAGAAAAATAAACAAAGGACCGGGCCACACACTAGAAGTGACATATTGATACATCAATAATGTGTGTATTTCTAACTCACCTATGTGAAGAACATTGCACTCAGTGGGAGCAGTGATGCTGTCCTTTGGATTGAAGGATGGCTGACATGTTAGGAGAAAGTTTGGTGGTTGAGACACGAAGGACTTCACAGAGACGGCTATCAGTCATTCTGGTTCTCAGTCTGCTTTTGTTCTGATTTAACTGAGAAAATGTTTGTTTACATATGGTGGATTATACAGTGCATCCTAACAGCCTCACCTCCGCTCTCTTTTACCTTGGCGCACACCAACGATGCCATTCCTTTGCGCTCGCCCATCGTGGACGGAGCTCCATCCGTTGTTATTCCACAGAGCTTGTCCCATTTAAGCCCCATCTTTTCAACTGCCTCTGACACAGCTTCAAAAATATCTTTTCCTGTCGTTGTGCCTTTTAGGCTCATCGTGTCAATCAGCTCCTCCGTAAAGCAAAAATTATCATCTACTCCCCGCAAAAAAATTAACAGTTGCGCAGTGTCTGTGGCATCCGTGCTCTCATCGCATGCTATCGAGTAAAAATCAAAAGCACAAGCTTTGTCTTCCAGCTGAAGTTTCAAGTTAGCCGACAAGTCCTCAATTCTCTGCACCACCGTATTTCTGGATAAGCTCACATTGTTGAAATCTGTGACTTTGATGAGACACTGCTTTATGAAACCACCATCTGAAAACGGTTTGCCGTGCTGGGCAATAAGTTTAGCAACTTCATAACTTGCTGTTGTGGCATTGTCCTGTATTTTGTTAGCACGAAAAAAACAGCTGTTGAGTTTAAGGCTAGCTGCCATTTGCTTGACTTTCTGTGTTCGTTCGGCACCAGTGTACGAGGTGTAGCTCTGTTTGGTCTCATAATGTCGACGGACATTATATTCTTTCATCACAGCTACATCGTCATTGCAAATCAAACATACACACTTTCCATTGATTCTTTGAAAAATACTCATTTTCCCACAGTATTTGAAATCTCCTACACTCACTTGCTATTTTTCGTTTCTTCGGCACCGCCATTTCAGAAGACTCAAACGGAGTGTCTCAGTCACAAAAAGGTTCTTCTTCTCTTCTTCTCTATAGTTTTGTTTCTGTGGCTGGCTCCATCCAGTGTTGAAACTGAGAAGTGCAATGGAGATGAGCTCAAATTTGTTGTGCGGGCCATATTCAGTTATATTTTCAGAATTTGCTACGGACCAATAAAAACTGGACCGCGGGCCGCAGTTGGTCCGTGGGCCGTTGTTTGGACACCCCTGCTGTAGATGGATCTATCAGCCCCTGCAGATGGATGGAGCTTAATGATGTGGCAAGAAGGTCGCCAGTTGGTGATTACCATCCAACAACATAATCAACAGTACAATGGGCAAAATAGATGAATATAAAGTTGGCTCATGTCTTTCAGCAGTGGTGGCCATCTTGAATCATCTTTTTTTTTCGATAAAATCGAACAAAATGAAAAGAATAAAATATGTGAAACACTTCATCCATTCTGAACAGAGACAACAATCATTTAAACACAGGGTAACATTTTAAGCTAAAGATTAACTCAAAAACAAACTATAAACAGAATAAGTGTGAGGGGTGAGAATACAAAGAGTGCTGCTTTTGTTTCTAATGTGTTTGTTTACATTCCTTGTGGTTCTGTTAGATATTAAGATTTTGGTCAGAATAAATGTCAGTCATTTCTTTCTTACTGCTAGGAATGTGTGATATAAACGATTTACGGTAGAAACTGTATAAATTTGTCCTATGATAGAGATCTGTAGTCTACCGGCCAACCGCACAGTTCTTTTTGATGACTTAACCGGCTGGAGTCAAAACAGAGGAAGTGGGAAGCAGCGTGGCTGAGAGCGCAAATGAAGAGGTGGAAAAAAACCATAACTTATCCGGACCACTGTTTACATGTTTATGTGACGGTGCGCCTGCAGCGGGAGGAGCGCGCGCCGCGGCACATGGTGACGCAGCGAGGCGACAGTTAGTGCAGGTGAAGTCAGTGCTCCCAGCTCAGTGCTGGGAGACCAACCAGGTAGGTCTCCCTTAAATTTAGATTTTTATTAGAGACTTTAGTGTCCCTTAAAAAAGGAGATTTTAAGGTCTATTTATTTTTACCTGTGCATATTTATACATTCCACTCAATTAATGTGTGATTTATTTATTTTATATTATAAGTTTTGTATCGTGATATATATCATTACCGCCACCCATCATAATGTATATCGTGATATGAAATTTTTGCCATATCGCACATTCCTACTTGCTGCAAATCAGAATGATGATATCAAGGGTGTCTCGGCTGTTTAACCAGGATTTTTCTGCCAACATTTTATTTGTAATGCCTTGATTAGGTACAGTTCATCAGTCAGTTCACCAAAGTTGGAGACATTCGGCTATCTCATTGGAGGTGAAGAGGCTTGGTGTGCTGGACACTAAAGTCCAGCCTGGTTCAGATTAGCCCTGAGGTCATTACGGAGAGGTTCATATAGAAGCAGACTCCCTGGAACAGCATGGCCAAATATCACAAACAGCCTTATCAGACCCAGCCAGATCATTCAAGTACTTCTCCATCCATCCTTTTTCTGTACACGCTTCTTCCTTTTCAGTGTTGCGTGGGTCACTGGTGCCCATATCCAGCAGTCACAGTGCGAGGGGCGGGGTACACCCTGGACAGGTCCCAAGTCCATCACAGGGCCTCAAGTACTTCTCTTTTGCAGTAATTAAAAAATAATTTTTCCCTCAGATTGTTTGCTCATCCATCTCAGATCTATTGAAGATCCAGCTTCAGCAGAAATCCAACTCAAACTCAAGCAGGATTTTCTTCACATTAATATTCAATAAAATGAACATGATGTCCTCCTTTGGTTTTGGGGCTGTCCTCCACCAAAAGTGAAATATGGATTAAAAAGCATACAGATTAAAAAACACAATTGAACAAATGTGTTGAATATGGCACCAATGTTTTGGGGCAGATGTGGTTCCGTTGTTAGGGCAGTTGTTCCTCTAATTCGAGAGTTGGCGGTTCGATTCCACCGCTATTCAGTCACATGTTGAAGTGTCCCTATGCAAGACACTGAATGCTGACTGCCTGTGATGTGTGTCCCATCAGTGTGTGATTGTGATTTCATTAGTCTCTTTGAATGAGCACGTGTGTGGATGGGTAAATGAGGGCACAGATTGTTGGGTAAAAGTCTTTGAGCCTCCTGGTTATGAAGAAAGGCGCTATATCCAGTCCATAGTTCATTTACCATTTCCAAAAGAAATGGGTCAAAGATTATTGAAAAGTTTTGAAACTCAAGGGGGTAAACAGATAACGTGTACCTTGTGTATGTAACCTTGGACCTCCATGACCTCAAAGCCTGAACCAGCAAATGTTGAAAACGTTCTATGGTTTGGAGGCACTTCCCAAAAAATTTTTTGTTGCATTTTTTATGTCCTCAAGACATTTTCATGCACCCACACTACACTCTACATGCCCAGTAAAACTTCATACATTCACATGTCATGCAAGACCATTCACAGGTCATGCACGATCCTACAAAAATCCAAGTTTGGAACCTGAGACCTTCTTGCTGCGAGGCACCAGTGCCAACTTGTTCCATTGTGCTGATAATGCGTAATATAAAACCTGCAGTGGGATCTTCTCTCCAGAGACCAAATACATTGAAAATCACTGCAGATGTTTCAGGGTAAAGCACCAACCAGATGATGAAATTTTCACACAGCACTCACTTCTTTGATGATTGGGTGATTTGTTCCCATGAGTTCATGAGTGATCATTAACAGGGAGTCACACTGAACAAGAGTTTTGGCCAGACTTCACCGTGACTCGTCTTTATGAACTGCTTTCATCTGTCACACAAATAAATAAATAAATAAATAAATAAATAAATAAATAAATAAATAAATAAATAAATAAATAAATAAATAAATAAATAAATAAATAAATAAATAAATGTCTTTCACTTCCGAAATCTGTCACATTATATCTCCTGGTGATTTCATCTTCTTTACACACCTGGTTGTTGGAGAAAACCAACAGACACAAATATTGAGTTTAAAACTGGGACTGCTCCATAAACCTCACAAGTC